CTTGATCCCTTTATATGAAGCGTTTCAGCCACTACACATACCCAATATCTAAAGGATTGGTCTGTTGGACGTCATGCTAAACCTCATAAACTTGTGATCCAACTTGCCATAACACCTGATATAGTCCCTTCCACTAAGCAAGAAGCCCCTTAAACAAACCATATATTGTAAAATTGGGAAAACAAATTAACACCAAGTCATCAACTTTATACTTTGGACAAGTGGACAAGTGGACAATGATGGGAGTTGTAGTAATATTATTGTCCCACTTGTATGTGACCTAGATGTTCAACAGACTTTGCTTGGACAAGTGGAAGAATGCTCTTCAAATATTGATCCTAAGACTTAGCATCAGTAGCTCGCAAAGGTAAACTTAACTCTATTGGTAGTATTGGATCATGACTATACAAGAGTTTATATGGTGAAACATCAATAAAACTTTGCACCCCTGTGATATATGCATATCAAAGAGATGGCAAATAACCATCCCAATTCGAATGCTAAAAGTTCACGTACTTCGCGATCATTCCTTTGAAGGTCTGAATGAGCTATTCTTCCAAACCATTTGATTGTGGATGATAAGCACTTGTGACAATGTGGCATATCCCCAACCGAGACATCAAAATATAAAATGCCTCAGCCATAAATGTAGGACCATTATCTGAAAGAATTTGTTCCAAATAGAAATGCTAGAACACCACTCAATTGAGGAGAAAGCATCCAATAATAGTTGTAGACGCACTAGCAAGAGCATCAACTTCCACCCAACGAGTTAAATAGTCAAAAGCAATAATAACATATTCATTACCAACAGTCGACCATGGAAAAGGCCTCATTAGATCAAACACCACCAATTCAAATGGATGGGAAACTACAATTGACTCCAACTATATTTCCGTAGCACAAGGGGGACTATTATGAACTTGGCACCAAACACAGCTACGCATATACCAGATAATATCATGTCACATCTCCACTAATAAAAGACTTATGTAGCTTCTTGGTCACACGACAATGTCCCATATGCCCACCTAAAATACAAGAATCATGGTAGGTATGGAGAAAGCATGGAATAAAGATAAAAGGCACCACCAGCCGTAAATTATCATCAAAATCCGTCCACACAAAATAAAGAAAATCATCCTCAAGGTGATATTGAGAATATAAATGCCAAAACAGCAAGTGATGTAGGATTCTCAAACCCATCATAAAGGCTTCAAATCCACAGCTCAATCTTTTGAGCCTCACAAGAAAGTAAATCTTACTCTGCACTTTGTGGACATTAAACATCAAGTACAGGAACTACTAAAGAAACATAGAATCTTTGTCTAAAAAATCCATAAATGCTAGAACAACAGACTCATTAGAAACATGAGAAGAAAGTGAATAAAGAAGAGGAGTTCGAGAAAAGGCATCAGTATTAGATATAGAACTCCTAGGGCGATGAACAATATCAAAACCATATAGTTAAAGTTTTAAAGCCCATCGAGCAGTACGATCAACCAAGTTCTTCTGCTCCAATAATGAAGTAATCACAACATGATCACTTTTTAGTAATGTCTAAAAACCAAATAGATATATATAAAGTTTGTCAAAACCCCAAACTGCTACTAAACAATCCTCTATCATAGAATAGTTCACCTCTGCTGGTTGTAAGGTATGGCTGATATATATAATGAGACAGCCCTAACCAAACAAAATTGACATAAACACACCTCCAAGACCGATATCAAAAGCATCCATGTGCAAAATAAAAGGTCAAGTGTAATTAGGATATGCCAAAACTGGAAGAGTCATCAATAGCTCTTTAAGATCTGTAAATGTCTACTCACAATCCACAGACCACATGAAAGATGATGTTAGCAACTTTAGCAATGTTTACAATAGTGCAGTGCAATCAAAAAGATGATTAACAAAACAACCAAGATATTACACCTTGCCCAAAAAGTGTTACACATCATTCATACACTTCGAAATAGAGAACTTTAAAACACCCATAAGTTTGTCAAGATCAATTTGTAAACCCTCACAAGAAATACAATACCCAAGATAAGTTGTGTCCTTAGACTCAAATAAACATTTCAACTGCTTCAACTTTAAACCAACTTCATGTAGCTAATCCAACACCTAATAAACATCACGAACGTGTTCCTCCCACATCCATTATAAGTGGATTAAAACATTATCAATGAAGTCAACAATCATTTCTGTTATTCCAAAGAATCTCATCTATCATCTGCTAGAAAGTTGTTGGAGCATTGTTTAGACCAAACGACATCACCAAGAACTCGTACAAACCAAATGGTGTATAAAAAACAATTTTAGAAATATCTTCCTTAGCCATTTGCATTTGCTAGTACCCAGAAGCAAGATTTAACTTAGTGAATTATCCCCAAATGATCCAAGAAATCAACATTGTGAGGAAGAGGGTACATATTTAAGATTGTCATTTTGTTTAACAGATGACAGTCAATGCAGAAACAAATACTCCTATCAGGCTTCATAACAAGATAAGGTTCACATACCCAAGGACTCCATGACTTTCGAATAACACCATTTTCCAACATCTCCTTAACATTTACATATAAAATCTTGATCTTTTTTTATTATCAATGACAAATAAGAACCTTGATTGAATAAACATCCCTAGTTGAAATAAGATGACATATTGCAATCTTAGCCCCAAACAACAAGTCAAATTCAAAAAGATCGGCATACTCCACTTGTCTGAGCAGAGTCTACAAAAGTAATGAAAGCACAAGTAAAAGTAGAGGGATGAAGAAGAACGAAAGTGAGAGGAATGGAAAAAATATAATGAAATATAAGACAAGGGAGAGAAGTTTTAAAGTCACACTTGGTATGATTATGCCATAATCAATCCATACCAAAGATGAGATCAAAAGTTTGACTTAGCACCACTCATAATGACTATAGCTTAAACTCAAGTTCACCCATATGCACAACTAGGTCTGCCTCATCCTGTGCATATGCCTATGTACCACCATTGCTATAAATAATGAATATTGGCTCTGCCATATGATGCAAATGTAGACAGCAACATGTGGAAACAGGTTAAACAATAGAAGATAAACTTGAGCCTATTAACCAAAACAAAGAGGATAATATAGAACCTCTTGTTATAAAAATGAACTTAGAAAGTAAACATTAGATGAATTGGTGCCGAGTGAACCCCTTGATGATACTTTCGAAAAAAAGATGGAGGGGTCACTGACTTATTCATGCAAGGACCCTCCACTATTCACACAATTTTGAATTTCCCAAAAGCATTTCGGTGTCCAAACCTTCCACTGTAGTAGCACCAACAAAACATTATTAATGCCAAGGTCTCCATCTAGGAAATGAAAGTCGTCAATCTAATAAGTGTGAGCAACTTCATCACATGCCCAGGAACGGACATCACAACCACGATTACATCCTCACCCTTATCCTTGAACTCGGGTAATAATAACATCAAACTCCATTGGAACAAGACTATCTTTTATAAGAAGTGGAGTTAAAGGATATGTAGTGAGAAGTGGAAGAGGCAATATTTCATAATGTTGTGCCAAGCGAAGAGTATCATTAAGGGTGGTTGGAGCAAGTGCATACATAAGTCTTATAAGATCTTGACAAAGTGTTAGCTACAACATTCCCAATTTGATCCACTCTGACATATTTAGCTCTGCACAAAATAAAAAGCTTCGGAAATGAAGGCTAAGTTGCATCACTAACTTAGATAGCCCTTAACAATGACGATGCAATTGTTAGAAGGTATCATCATAATCGTCAACATGTCTAAATGTGCATTTGAAAATGTCTGGGAAAATGCTCCAATCCTCACGAATAACTGCACTCAAACTATTGTACCATTGCAATGTTGTCCCTTAGAGGCATGTAGGAAACTCACGTAAACACTAAACATCATCCCAAAAATAATATGTGGCAATCACTATAAAGTGATTGAACTAATGTTACATATCATCTTTAATACTCCCATGGAAGAACTCTGGTTGGACACAAAGATTGGCAGTAAAAGCATAAACAACTATACCATACATCGTGAATGCTACTATCAAATGAGTTTGATTGTTCAATTGCAACTGCATAGCATTAAACAATTGCACCAACTACTATTCCAAAGTCAAAAAAGGAAGATGTTGTTGCTTTGCTATGAAAATGAACGAAAAAAAAAAAGCAAAAGAGAAGAAATTGAAAAAGTTATAAAAGCTAGATCTAAATCAAAATCCCAAATCCAAACACTCCTCAAGGACAATCAAAATTACTCCTCACCTCCGCTAATATGAGTGCATGGAATATAAATTAAAATATAGAAATGTATATATTAATTAACCCAAAAAATTTAACTTATATACAGAAGTGAATGGTCTAAATTGAAACTAATCCAGCAGCTATCAAAATCCCACTATGCTAATATTAATATATGGCATTGTAGGCATACACTTGGACCTCACAATATTAATTATCCTTGGTTTCCTCAAGAGTTATTATAATATATTATATAATGGATTGTGTAACTCAAATGATTAAGATTTAATTCTTATGGTAGGCATGTAAGTGAATGCCATCCCATCTCATGGTGCTGTTGCTGCCATATCCCTTCAAGAAGCACCACCACAACCAAGAGCCATGTGCTTCTCCAGAGGCTCCAACAACATTGCCATGCTCAAATGTTTTTTATGTGTCTCTACAGCAGTCAGTAATTCTCAAGGTGCAGGAGTGTCTAACCATTTCTTGATGTGCTTCTGCAGACAATAAGATGATGATCTCACAGCATTTGGCACCACCTAATTGATCACACTGCTCCAGCTTTTCTTTCAGCAGTAAGAGGTAGCTAGAGTTGAGACCACCAAACACCATTCCCATCCGTTTCCACTTCCATAAAAACAAGATGGATAATGCTGTTGTAATAGGTCAAATAAATGAGTTAAAATTTATAACTTGTCTGGCACTGGAAGTTACAGAGATTGAGATCGATACAATTGCTAGAAATCGTGACCAGAAATTATATTCTGAATGAGGCTTTTAAAAAGAAAAAAAGAAAAAAAAAATGGGACTTTGCAAAAACTCATGTCAACATAGACAGACCATCAGCTCACTTGCTCTCCGATCAAATCCAGCCCGATAACAAGGAACGAAATCCCTTGGAACAGCAAAAAATAAAAGTGTACCCCTTGAGCAGAGAGCAAGCTCCTTGCAGCCGCGGTGAGCAGTAGAAATGCGAGCGTCAACTCCTTCCTGTACAATCGATTCCCTTTCTTGCCTGCCTTCTTGGGCTTGTCCTGGAGCTTGGCCAGAAGATCCAAGCCCGACTCGGACACCACTCGCAGGTGTTGCTGCTGCTTGGGAAGGACTTCCGCAGAGTCCCGAGATATGGCCGCCAGCAAGTCCGCCTCGGACGCTCTGCCTGTTTTCTTCGTCACCACCCATTCGTACGCGCTGCCGAGTTGGAAGAGGCCGGAGATCATGGCGTTAAACTTCGTCACCGACATGGTGTTCTCGAACAGGAGGTACGGTACCAAGAACGGGAATGATCTGGGTGCCGGGAGGACGTTGAGGAAGGACATGACGGCCGGGACGTAGCAGATCACCCACACTGGCAGGTGCGACTCCGGCACGAACATCGTCATCGGCAGGATGATGCAGAAGAGCGTAAACGAGTAGAACGGCAGTATGAGCTTTCTCAGCAAGAAGAAGAGGAAGATCAAGTTGCCTTTTTTCCAGAGGGGAATCTGCAAGGCGGCACGTATAAGATAAGTTTTTCTATGCGAGAAAGCAAGTGACACGGACCTTTGCAGTGACGATATCAGGCATGCAGAGGCGGAAGAGCTGCATTGGTCCCGAGTGCCATCGGTGCTGCTGCTTCCTATACGCCTCGTAGGACTCTGGTAGCTCGCAGAGGCACTGAAAACATGCAACGAGCAAACAAATCAGTCCGAGCAGATTGGAGGCCAAGAGAATTACCCGAACATCGTTTACAAAGAGGAACTTCCAGCCTTGTAAATGCGCGCGGACAGCGATGTCCATGTCCTCGACTGTTGTCCTCTCTAGCCAGCCACCAGACTCTTCAAGTGCCTTAATTCGCCAGACCCCAGCTGTTCCATTGAAACCAAAGAAGCTGAGGAAAACTCCATTCACCTGTTGCTCCACCTCGAAGTGGAACGACAGATTGACGTTCTGGAGACGAGTGAGGAGGTTTTCATCCTTGTTCGTGAAAGACCACCGTGCCTGAACCAGTGCCAGCTCGGGATCTTCCTGTAAACACCAAGGAACGATGGAATTGTCAGATATCTCAACCAACAAACTCAAAGTATTCACGCTGCTCTACCTTGAGATGTGGAACAGTCACTTTCAGGAAATCGGGCTTAGGCTGGAAATCTGCGTCGAAAATCGCCACAAACTCGTAGTCTTTCACGTAATCACAGGCCATAGCAGACTTTAAATTGCCAGCTTTGTAGCCACTGCGAACCAAGCGATGCCTGTAAACAATGTTCACTCCCTTTTGACGCCACTTCTGTACTTCCCCTTGAATAAGCAGCTGGATATCCGGCTCGTCAGAGTCATCCAACACTTGAATTAGCAATCGATCCTTGGGCCAATCAAGCTGACAAATCGCCGACACTGACTGCTCATACACCTGGATAGAAAAGAGAAAGCCAGTAAAAAAAAAAAAACTCCCCCAGTCAGAAACAAAGTGAAAAAACAGAACTCCAATCTACCTCTCGCTCGTTGCACATAGGAACCTGAACCAGCACCATGGGAAACCCAACACCCGGCTGCTCCAAATCCTGTGACTCCAAAGTCGCCGGATTCGCCACCACTTTGATCCTCCTATACTTGATCCACAAACACCCGACGCAGAGTATGATCCTGTCAGCGCTCTGGATCAAGAACAGCACGATGCAAAAATTCGCCAGCGTCTGGAGCGGAGGAGCAATGTAGTTTGCTCGCAACTGGACCCAAAACACGTACACCGCCTGGAGCATGCTGTGCAAGCTCAAAGAAGACGAGGATGGCATGCGCAGCCGGGGCGTCCATCCGGAAGTGTGAGCAATGAGCTCGAATCCCAGCATCACCAGCGCGAATGCCAGAAACCCCTTGATGAACCTGTGAAGTTTCCCCCTGTGAGTGTTCGACTTCTCCGGGTTGGCGACCCCTTGTTTCTGGACGAGCCTCTTCTTCACAGCACTGAGAAGAAGCCACAGGCCGTGGGCGAGCCATGCCAGGCATCCAGCGGCGCGATGGGCTTTGAGGAGAAGCACCCAAGTTAGCTGCTTGGCATTCTTTCCCCTGCCCTTCTTGTCAAACGTAGTGGCGCCGCCACTGCCCGGGCTCTCGATCTCCAGCATCGACCAGTTTGGATTGTCCATCTTCACCACCACCGGAGTTCCCCTGTGATCTTGCTTGGACCACCAATCCGCGAAGTCGAAGCTCGTCGGCGGCATCGAGCGGGGGAGAGAGTTTAGTCGTCAGATTCGGTGGCTGCGCTGGAAATTTGGCATGCGAACTTAATTGCCTCTGCAAGATCTTCTTTTTCGTGCTGGCTCTCGAGATTGATTCGATAGAAAAGAGCTAGAGCAATGCTTACTCTCGGGCTCGCATGCCAATCATGGACGAAATGATGTCCCTGTCACAAATTCGCTGCTTGGAGCTCCAGCATTGCCGCCATAGATCTTCGGTTTAGAACCCAGAGAAGCACCCAAAGAACGAGAAAAAAAAAATGGGGGGGAAACGAGGATGGGAGGAGAAAAAATTCCCAAAATTGCGTGTCAAACAGCACTGGATTCCAGCAGCCGCCCCAGAAGAGACAACGGCAATTCTGGAATAGTAAGGAGCCGTGGTCAGAAACGCTGAATTTCGCACAGCTACAGTGGCGCCGCGAAGAACGAAGGCGAGGAACGCGACAATACGACACGGGGAAGGAAGAGAAAACGGAGAAGGAGCAGCAGTGCGCTACAGTGCTCTACACAAATCCCTAAACCCTAATCCTCACGGCACGGACTCTCCCTCCCTCTCTCTCCCCGGCATTGAGCAGCAAAATCCAATGCGCTTGTGAGCGATCCCCTCCCTTTGCCGATCGAGCTGCGCTCCTCCCCTCTCTCTCTCTCTTCTCGCGCGAGGAACCCTAAAATCTGGAGTGGAGTGGATCGATCAATGCACTTGTAGAGGCGCACGTTTTCAAACAACTCCCGCCTCTCTTTACTGTGGCCTTGGAGAGCAGGCTGACAGAATATCCTAGTAAGAAACATTCCGTTAAGCCTTTGAGAATACAAAAGCCCTAATTTCCATAACATGTTGACAGAATAAGAACATTCCGTTAGTTTCGAATAAAAAAAACCCTAAGTTCCTTTCAAGCTGGATCTTTCGTGATGAGACACATTATTTTTGGTGTTGTTCTTATAAGATTTACACCCACATCACCTCCTCCACACGGATCAACTTAAACTTGTGGGCATCTCTTTGGATTCCAGTGGAGCAGCATCCCCTTGGCCTATAAACAAGCCACGGCGGAGTTGACGCAGCGACAAACCAAGGGTGGGCCAAGTTTGTAGACTACGAATCCGCAAAAAAAAAGGGGGCATTCTCTTTCGCTCGGCCCTGGATTCCCTCGCTCGAGAAACCAGCTCACGCTCGTCCGGGGCGGTGGTGTGTGTGTGTGACAAGTCTTTCCCAATTCTTCTTTGCTTATAAACTTTGAATTTAAGCCAAGAGAAAGAATCTCTCTGCGCAAGGTGGCCACCTTTGTTGCTTTTGTAAAGTCTTTTCTCCTCATGTGGGCGTGCTGCCAAACACGCTACGCTTACACACATTGCTCAGACTTGGCATGTTCGCCATGAGAAAACACTCACCAACACCGCTCGACTTTGAAGCTACGTGCGTGCGCGTAAACATTTGCATAGAATATACAAAACCATATAGTATGGTCCGGTAATAAAATATAGATATCACCCATGCATAAAGGTTTGGACCTTTTCTACCCGGACAGTTTACCATTCCAAAGTGACTGCAAAGTCGTAAGAATTTAAATGCGGTCATATGTTAGGCAATTTTTTAGAATTGTTTTTCTCCGTTTTTGCATGGTCACAACCAAGCCGTTAGGAATCTTACAGAAATTAAGGTGTGAATCCCAACGACAGCGAAATCGATGTGAGCGATTGTTGGATTCGGATATTAGGGTTTATTGAGGGTCAAATTGTTTGCCCTAAAGGGTTTTTTGGGCGGGAGAGGGGGAATGGAGGTGCGCCATGGCGACTTGCTTGATCCTCATCCGGACATCACTGCGCTCTTTTGCTACTACAATGCGCTCTATTTCCAAGGCAAGCTTGGCGCTTGCAGTGTGCAGTGGAGCAGCAAACGCATGACTTTGTATCCTTTGCTTTGATCGCATTTTTCTGAGAGTTTGATCGATTGGATTTGTTTTTGGCTCAGGTGCGCGGGGATTTGCAAGTACAGCTTCTGCGGTGGCTGCGAGATTCGCCTCTCGGAGCCGCTGCTCAAGTATCGGAGTGTGAGTGATCTCAAGAACACGCTTCTCCATGAGATGATTCATGCGTTTCTGTTTCTCGACAATGGGAACAAAGATCACGAGTGAGTATTTGTTGTCAGCTAAGAAGAAAAAGGTTTTTTTCTTCTTTCTGATCTCATCCTTTTTCCTTCGTGTGGCAGTGATCATGGTCAATATTTTCTTGCAAAAATGAAGGAGATCAACGTTTCCAGCTTGCAAGATTTCGAGGTTCTATTTAGATTTTGCGAAACTTATTCTTAGCTTTTCCGTGTCAGAGACCTGTAGAAGGCTACAACATCACCGTATATCACAACTTTAAGGACGAAGTGAACAATTACCGTGTTCATCACTGGACGGTAGAACACATTTTTGCGCTCAATTTTTGGACGAGTCTTTGCTATTTTGCAGTGCCAGTCTTGTGGGAATCTTGTAAAACGAGCGATGAATCGAGCACCCTCGCCAGCTGACTGTACATTCAAAGCTGGATCGACAGGAACCTGCTCACATCCGCGATGCCTCTGGCATACGTAAAGTTTCAACTTTCACGCTTTAGCTTTATCTTTCATCTTTGTGGATCAGGCACGAGACAACTTGCGGCGGCAGCTACTTGAAAACCGCGGAGCCACCCGGATACAAAGACAAGCGCAAGAAGAGGAAAGAAGAAGGTTTGTTTTAACTTTTGGAAGTTAAAGCTACCTGGTGTGCTATCAAACAGGCTCTTCGATTGGAAGTGGTGAGAACAAGGCAGGAAAATCCCACAAAACTGCTGGAAGAGTCTCTGGGATGCCATCGAAGAACTTGAGCATCAAAGACTTTCTCAGCGTAGCAAGCGGCTCAAAGAACACAAACGCTATCGATTTAACTGCGGATGATCCAAGTTCGTGCTTAAATTGATGATTTTTATCAGAAAACTAACAATCTTTCTTGTGAGCTGCAGTGCACTGCTTCGTTTGTCCGAATCCAAATGCAAAGAGACAATCGTGGGAGACTTAGGCAGGACCGAAACCATCGCAAAAATCAACCAGCACCTGGACAACTGCTTGATAAATTAAAGTTTTGTAAGAATGTGAATGAACTTTGCGTACCTTCTTCGATATGATATTGTGAAGGCGTGTTGTTCTCTTAGATTTGCTCTTCCGTGAGCACCGCATCCGTTACCGCCGCATTCGTTAGCACCGCATCTTGTTCGGGTGTCGCTGCTAGCGGCAGCTCCGCGTCCACGTTGAGCGGCAGCCTCCACCGGGAAATGTTATGCCATGATGGTCTTCGTGGTATCCGGGACTTCGGAAGTTGATCTGGAAATGCAGCGAAAGAAGATCAGCGAGAAGACAAAATTGAAAGAAACAAGGCGCTTACCGATGAGCCTTAGCACCGTATCTTTGTCTGGCAACGCTGGAATAGCCCCTCTCTCCGTGGTTGTGATTGCTCCACAGGCATTTGCAAATCGCAAGGCATCTCTCAGCCTTTTCTCGTCCTGAGGAGAAAGGCGGGATTTAGCTGATCGAAAGCATCAATTCTGGCGCTCTCAGAGGTTCGCTTACCAACAAAGAATCACCAAAGTCAGGAAATCAGTCAGGATGTAAACGTACTGTGTACAAGGACATGTCGCTAACGAGCTGACTGTGGATTCCTCCGACGAAGGCGTCGCCGGCACCAGTCGTATCAACGGCTTGGACTTGAATGCCCTCGACTTTTCCGTGGAATTCCTGATGAATTTCGTTAGTGAAAGCACGATGAATAGCATTTGGAGCACTCACTTTTGTATAGTAGCGGGAGCCATTCTGGCCCTCGGTAACCAGCAGTAACTTAAGATTGGGATGAAACATAGACATTGCTGCCTCATCGGTATACGGATCCGCTCCATTTGTCAGAAACTCCAGCTCTTCCTCGCTGATCTTTGCTTGCAGAAAAGAGGAGGTAAGACACGCTCAAAATAAAAGGTAGAGACGAAGAGCACCTTGATAAGGTCGGCTTTGTTCCAAATGCTAAGAATGCCGATCCGGGCGTCTTCAGGCGTTGGCCAAAGGGGAAGTCTCAAATTGGGATCGTAAGACAACAATGCACCAGCCGACTTTGCGATGTCCATGGCAGCAAGGTGAGCAGAACGACATGGTTCCGCGATCAAACTGATCGAACCGTAGTGAAAAATCGATGCCTGTCAAGAAGAAGAAAGCACCAGTCAAAAACATTGGAGAAACGAAGAACACAAAAGAATAGAAAATGAGAGAAAGAACGTTACCTGTTGTATGAGCTCAGCATCAAGCTCGGGTACTGTTAGAAGCATATCTGCGCTTGGATTCCTGTAAAACATAAACTCGCGCTCACCATCCTCTCTCAAAGTAACAAAAGCCAAAGAAGTCCTCGCGTTCTGATCGAAACGAACCCCTCGGCTGTTGACTCTATTGTCCTTGAGAATCTCCACGAGCATGCATCCAAACTCGTCCTCTCCGACCTGGATGGAATGCAATTCTCAAAAAACTCAATCTGGCAGCCTGCATTCTCTATCCTGCTAGAGAAATCTCTCTCTCTCGCTCGTCTCACCTTGCCAATGAACGCTGAGTGACCGCCGAGGCGAGAAATCGCCACAGCGACATTGGCCGGGGCGCCGCCGGGGGCTTTCTTGAAGGCCGGAGCATCCGCCAGCGACAATCCCCCCACCGTCGGCACGAAATCCACGAGCATCTCCCCGAAACACACCACAAGATCCGACTTCCTGCCCTTGCTCCTGGGCGAGATCGATGAGGAGCGCCTTGATCGCGCCTCCATCACTGCCGCGCAAAATATTTCCCAGCCCTAAAAAAACGCTCCATGGAAAATTAACTAAAAAGAATATGCTCGGCACCTTGTCTATACAGCTTCTTCTTGAAGCCTCTTGCAAGGCTTGAACAAGAAGCTTTGTAAAAGTCACCCTCAATCGCGGACTGCCACGTGTACGCCCGGCAAATATGAATGCACGCGTCACAACGTTGTTGGCCTCGCCAGAGAGTTTCCCGCCTTGTTGGTCATTTCCCTCGCATTGAGTGCGCTCTCCTAGGGTTCGTATGAAATCGAGGCGCTGGCTCGTCTAGGGTGTCGTAGTCTCAGGGTGGAGGCTAGAATCTCCTGGCGGTGGCGGTGCGGCAGGGTATAATGGCAGGCGACGAGAAAGATCGATCGATTGTTCCCTTCAGCCGCGCGGCGCTCGATGGCGAGGCTCGATTCAGGCAGTGCTGCGAGGTCTGGATTCTTTTCTTGTGCTGGACGGGCTCTCAGTTCGTGGAAATTTGACAGGCAAGGCTCGCTTTGGATGAAATACGCATGGAGAAAGCTGTGGCGCTGTTTCGCGCAATCACGTCGCTCAAGGATTCGTCCGTGCTTGGTGGCTCGGTAAGCAGTTCTCGTGTTTGTCGGTTTTCCAAAGTTTCTTTGTCGTCTTTTTTTTTTCCAGGCAGATGAGGCCGAGCGTATTTGGATGGCATGCATTCTATATGTCTTGAAGAAGCTGGATAGGAATGAAACTCACACCTTTACGGTGTCGCAAGTTCTTCGTGCGACCAATGTGAGGTGAGATTTTTTTATTTTATTTTTTTTGTTGATCCGTTTGTGCCTGCTTAACTCGTCAACAGTATTGTGGAGTTTTTCAGGGAGCTTCCACAGTTTTTAGAAAAATGCACGGCAACTCTGAATGACCTTTACGGGGTAGAGTTCCAGGAACATCTTCAGGTATATCGCTTCTGATTGTTTCTTGTACTCCTGATTAAAAGAGTTCGACGTTGTTTCAGGCTAAGGAAGACCAAGCAACCTTCGTGCACTTGATGGTTCTGTTCAAGTGAGTTTGTTTGCACTGTTAAACTTCCCCGATGACAATTTCCCTGCAGTCACTACAATAGGAATTATCTGGATTATTTTAAGCCGCAAATGTTAAGTGATGGGACGAGCACCGGTCAGCAACATTTTGGCTGGTTTTTCTTCCTGGCTGTGCGGATGCGCGTCCTCGGGCAATTTCCTGATCTTGTTACGTGTACGAACGCGCTTCTGGGTGTCATTGTAAGCAACAGACGTTTTGTTCCCATGTCTGACGTTTTTGAACAGGTCGTCATGATTGTTCATATGCCGGTGTCGTTGCGATCCTTTTCATTGGAGAATACGTCTCTCTTTCGTATGTTTTGCCATTTGTAGTGCTGTTACTGACACAACCTGTTTGCAGCGAAAAGGGATGACAAGGGGGTGAACCTTGTAGCGTCTATCTCCAGCGTCGGAGATGCTTGTGAAGGTGATGTTATGTCGATGCTCCAAAAGATTCAAGAAATGATTCCGACTGTTTTCCCAAGTCTATCCGGCATAGGCGACTCCAGTGCTGTTAGCAACCTGCAAGGTTTCAATTGTGGTAAGTTTATCTAATTTGTAAGTTTCCAGCCAGTGTTGATATTCTGTTGCAGACGGCATATTGTATTTTGAGGGCCTGCTCGAAGACCATATGCTAGCCACACATCTGCAAATTCTGGAGAGGCTGTGTGAAGTTGTGGAAGGCGGAACAGTTAAAATGCCAACGCCATCGTCATCTGAAGCAGTTAGAATGCCGCCGCCGACACCTGTTAGCGTAACTATGACGACAGCAAAGTGGTTACGGACCGTTATAGCACCATTACCCGCCGAGCCAAGTACAGAATTACTAGATTACCTCAAGTCGTGTGACCGAGACATAACGGAAGAGGTGACGCACAGGGGCAAAGCGTTACTGGAAGCAATATTTCCCGTTTATCCCCAAGGCAGCTGGAGGGCCACTCTCCACAGCAGTGGGAGCTCGGAATGGACCGTACAAAGAAGATCGGAGGCCTCGAAGCTTTACTACAGAGTTCTAACGGCGCTTTGTCGGGCCGAGTTCCTGAGACTTCAGAGCAAGAATTTGACATCAGTGTTGACAAGCGAGAAGTTTCACCGGTGCATGCTGGCCTGCTCTGCTGAGTTGGTGCTTGCGGCACACAAGACCATCATTCTGGCGTTTCCTGCTGTTTTGGAACCGACTGGCATAACTGCGTTCGACTTGAGCAAGGTGATAGAGTCTTTCGTAAGGCACGAACCAACTTTGCCAAGGGAGCTGAAACGACATCTAAACTCTATCGAGGAACGGCTTTTAGAGAGCATGGCCTGGGAGAAGGGGTCATCGATGTATAACTCGCTGGTGGTTGCTAAGCCCAGGTTCGCACCTGACATACGACGTCTGGAACTTATCAGTGAACCATTGCGAACGTTGGAACCGTTGATACCGTCTTATTCGCAAGGAGGGACGTCCAAAGGGGAAGACATGGCAGCTGAATCAAATTCACCGACCGAGGCTATGCATGAGATCGTGATGGTCGTGTTCTTTCAGAAGGTATGTAGATCTTTTTACATCGCATCGTTCGACCACGTGCTTTGCTGTGCAGGTGTTGAAGCTCGCCGCTAGCCGAATCAAAGTTCTCTGTGAACGCCTTATGCAGCCTAGTTTCGTCGTGGAGCACATTTTCCAGGTTGTTGAGTACGCTCTGAATCGGACAACTATCTTTTTCAACCGGCACATTGATCAAATACTACTATGTAGCACGTATGGCGTATGCAAGGTACGATGATATTGTGATGATTACCCAATCACAGCTGCTTAAGAGCAGGTCTTGAGCCTTAACGTGAGCTTTAAAGACATTATATTCCAGTACCGGAAGCAGCCTCAGAGCCGAAATCATGTTTTCAAGAGTGTTTATCTCAAACACCGGGGAGGGGTAAGGATCTTTCTTGAATTTTTAGATGTAATGTTTTCCCTAACAGATTGCCGAGACGGGAGATATAATCAAATTTTACAATACTGTTTTTGTTCCTGCTGTGAAGTCATTTTTAGTGACAATCGCTCCACCTTCGGTGTCTATGACTGCAAGCCAAAGTGATGTGGCAGACGAAAACACAGGTAAAGAGTTCTAAAATCATGTTAGTCTGATTTGAGCTGGTCGTAAATGCAGCGCCTAACTCACCTGCACGGCCATCTGTCCTCCCAGCCATTCCCGACATGTCTCCGAGAAAAGTATCTGCCAGGCACAATGTGTATGTCTCCCCTCTTCGAAATACAAAGGTAAGCTCTTTGCTTTCTGGTTGGATATGACGAGCTCGTACAGGTTGAAAACATCATGTCCCCACACTCAAAAAGTTTGTATGCTTGTGTTGGCGAAAGTACTCACGCATACCAAAGCCCTTCGAAAGACCTTACTGCAATTAACTGTCGCTTAAATTCGTCAAACGGGTCAGTTGTTCACAAGGTTCACACCATCTGGTTTTTAAATTGTATTTGCAGGCGAAGGCTTGATTTCCTGGGGCCATCTATGATCAGTGACTCTTTTGTTAGTGGAGCCTTAACCAACAACTCTGAGGCGGCAGCCAACGCCCCGAACAACGATGCGAACGTCGATCAAGGCGTACCAAACGACAACCAAAGTCCAATTCCAGATCCTCAGTCTCCTCCAGGGAAACGTCCGAGGCTCGAATAATTTTGAACTCTAAAGAGACGGTAAAGTACCATTGTTATTTTGAATTTTCTTGTCAACCAAGTCTATGCTGCAGATATTATGTACAAGATTTCAACGGACACGTTCACCTTCACATAGTCTCGGCAATACTCTTTAGTGAGGGCCTCCATGGCTTCGCAATCGACATGCCCATTCCTAGCTCACGGGCATCTGGAAAAGTTTGGAACTACACAACGAGGAAGGAACAGAATCATATGGTGGATTTCTCAAACAGCTCGACTACCTGAGACCCCGTGCCTGACTTGGAGGAATCCGGTGCTGTTAGAAATGCTGCATCGACCATGCCACTTACTCGACTGGTGCCAGTTTTCCTACTGGAGAAGTTGTTTAGTACTTCTGCAAGGCCAGGTTCAGCACTCTGTCAAGGATCCAACGACACTGACCTTCAAAGCTGATGAGCCGGTAGCAGTTGCCAGTGGCAAGTATAGCCGAGGGGGGCAGGATTTTCATTTTGGGCTTCCGTTTTGGAGACGATGAAGGCTTTGGCCACACATAGACTGCGACATAGTAGCCGGGATTTTGTAGCATCACCTGACGAGCAGAGATTGTCCAGTACAAGCGCTCCATCCGCCCGTTGGGATACTCTATCAGCGTTGCGACCGCGTCGGAAGCCTGGCAATTCCCCATCGCTTCTAGCTGCTGCTGCTGCTGCTACAAACCAGAGCACTGCGGGGGATGGATGGAGCAGAATAATGGAGAGGACACGTCGTAGTCCTCCATGGCAGCTCCTTGAAAAAACTATGTAGGGAAATGGGAAGCTGGGAAGGGAAAGGCAGGGAAACGAAGACGTCGACCGCCATGGCGCCTCGACTGCTTTGGAGTTATCCGGCTCGTCGATTCGACACGCAGAAGACTTAAGACGATATCAAAAGGCCCAGGAATCGACGCAGGTACTTTTCACTGGCGATAGCTAACACGTATCTAAGCAAAACTTTTTCTTTTTTCAGCTTTGCAGTCATGGTCGGGGAGCTTGTCTTTAGGTGGATGGAATCTCTGCGTCTTAAGACTGACGAAAGAACCTTTCAGCTGATGGAGAGGAGAGACGACGGAGAAGTTTTGGGAGAAGGATCAGCACGAGTCTATCGCGTAAGTTTCAACTGGATTTAAGTCTCTGGTGGACCGCAGCATTGATGAGCAGTGTGACTGGCAACCAAGACGAAATAAGTTCGAGACACATTTGCGGTGAGAAATTGAGAGGCAACCACCTGTTGATCATCATACGGCCTTGTCAAAAAACATTTCGTATGTCATGCAATCCAGGCCGTCCATAGTCGATGCCCTAAAAGGGCCCGAAAGGGGGCTAGAATATGCCGAATAGCGTTTCGCGCGATTTTAGGGTTCTTGATCCCTCTTTCCTAGCGATGCCGCTCAGCATTGGATCTGCACGGGACAGCGTCAAGGGAGAATTCTTTGGCCCGCAACATAGGTAAATTCTTGTGGACCTTCGGAAATGTGACTAAGCCCACCATTTGTTAAACTTGCAGCATGAGCGAAGCATATGAAATTGAGCTCAAGGTGCGCGATTACGAGTTAAACAACTATGGTCTCGTACAGAACACGGTGTACGCGAGCTACTGCGACCATGGTATAGCTTATCCAGTTCCAAGCTTTTCCTTTGCTCATACGCTTTGAAAGGTGCCAAATTTTCACCCAGCAAGACACGAGTTATTTGAAGAGCTGGGAATCAATTCTGAGGCTCTTGCCGGGACTGGTGCTGTGCTTGCGCTTGCGGAGCTCAACATCAAGTACTTGAGCCCTTTGAAAGTATGATCTTTCTATCTGTCCGGGGTATTAATGTTACTTATGCCAGTCAGGGGATGTTTTCCTTGTTACGGCTAGGATAACTGGATCGTCGGCTGTGAGACTGTTTTTCGACCACAACATTTACAAGCTTCCTCACAAAGAAGTCCGTTGGTTTTGTTTATAACCTTTGCTTTTGGGTTTTCAAGTTTTTTCTTGTTTGCAGCCAGTGTTAGAGGCTAAAAGGATTGTTGTTTGTCTGGACAAGAACGACAAACCAATCAAATTTCCAGCGCGCTTTAGAAATATACTTAATTTATTTATGAGAAATCAAGGATAATTTTTCATGTTGGATAATATTGCAAAATCATTTTGAATAGCACAGACCCGTTTGTGTAAGGAATAGGCCTATAATATCCTATTGTATTCTAGGATATTCCCTAATCTTATGGCTGTCTCGTAAACTTTCTCTATAATTTTCTTTCAATATAAATCATTGCAAGTGTACAGGGTGGCAAAGAAGCGATGAAGTTCTTCATAGCTAGAATTTTAAGAGTACCAAGTGAAATTTCCCAAACTATAGTAGGATTTTTGTTGTCAGCTTTGGGATCTTCATAAAACCATTAGGAGGAATTGCAACACTTCTACATATTATCCTCTAAGTTAAAAGGATTCACATTGTCTGAAATAGCATGCCAACACAAAGCCATGAACCTTAAAGCTAAGTTATCAAATTTTACATCATTGAGCTCTCATGAAGGGCATAGATTCTAGCCCATGGAAGTATAAAAATGAAATTCTATAAAACTTATAAAAACCAAAGCAAATCATGTTTCTGTTTAATGCAACAAATCATTATTATGATGCAGCATGTTTACAGCTTGAAAGTTATAAAATGTTTTATATAGAACCAGGTTGCAATTGGATCTAATAAATATATATATATATATATATATATATATAGTAATTATAATGCTTTAGCTATTGATGTATTAATTAAGGTTTAAACCTACCAGATTTAATCCCAAATGGATATAGTACTATAATTAGTATATTACCTAGATAAGGTAATATATACATGAGTGCATGGAATATGGAAATGGAATACAGAAATATGCATATTAATTAACCCAAAAACCCTAACTTATACATAGAAGCATGTGGTCCAGATTGAAAACAATCCACTAGCTATCAAATCCCACCACACTAATATTAAGATATAGCATTGTAATTGTACATTTAATCCTTACATCATCCCCTCCCCTTGGAAGGATGGAAAATAGTCAATGTTCTTTAATGGATAGGCTTAAAAACATTGATAGACTTGTATGTGGTATTAGTTGTTCTTGATCCCTTTGTATAAAGCGTTTCAGCCGCTATATATACACAATTTTTAAAGGATTAGCATATTAGATGTCATGCTAAACCTCATAAACTTGCAACCCAATTTGCCATAACACTTGATATAGTCCCTTCTACTAAACAAGAAAGACCTTAGACAAACCATATATTGTAAGATTGGGAAAATGGACTAACATCACATCTATTTTGTAATTCTTAAGTGGATGATGATGGGAGTTGTAGCACTGTTATTATCCCATTTGTATCCAGCATAGGTGTTCAACAGACTTTACTTAAACCAATAGAAGAATGCTTGTCAAATACTAATCCCAAAACCTAGTTCGTAACAATTACAAAAGTAAACCTAACTCCATTAGATTATGACCATATAAAAGTTTATATGGTGAAGCACTAATAGAATTTTGCACCCATATAACATATACATACCGAAGTGATGGTAAATAGCCATTTTAATTCAAATATTGAAAGTTTATATACTTTGTGATTATCCCTTTTAAGGTCTGAACAAGTCATTCCACCAAACCATTTGACTGTGAATGATGATAAACACTCATGAAAGTGTGGTGTTTCCCCAACCAAAACATTAAAACATGAAATATCTCAGCCATAAATATGGGATCATTATCCAAAAGAATTTACTTGGGACAAAAATGCTGAAACACCATTTGATTAAAAAGGAAATATCTAACAATAGTTGCAAATGCACTAACAAAAGCACTGACTTCCACCTAGCGAGTCAAATAGTCAAAAGTAATAATGATATACTCATTGTCAATCCGTGGAAAAAAAACCCCATCAAATCAAATGCCACTAACTCAAATAAACAAAAAACTACAATTAACTCCCACTATCCTTCTATAGCATGAAAGAGAGTATTACAAACTTGATATCAAACATAGCTACTCATATACTAGATAACATCACGTCGCATTTTTTACCAATAGAAAGACCTACACAGCTTCTCAATCATACGATGATGTCCTATATGCTCACATAGAATAGAAGAATTATAGTAGGCATAGAGAAAATATGGAATAAAGATCAAAGGCACCACCAGTTATAAATGATTATCAAAATTTGTCCTTACAAAAAAACATCCTTTTTGTGTGCTTAAAAAATAGGGAAAAAGGGGAATATACCCTTGCATGCTAACATCTTCTCATGACTTTGATAGTGGAATATTCTAGGGAATCTCACACAAAGCTCTAAGCCATCTCCTAACAGGTGACCACAAACAAATATACTAGCTACATTACATTAAAGAACCCATACCCAAAGTGTTGGTGTAGACTCCAAGGTGATGCCCTATGGAGATAGGGTGCGCTACATGTGCTATCAGAAAAAATAGCACATATTTAATTCCCATTGATTAGTGGCTACTTAAAAATATAATATACCTTGAACAAAGTATATTCTTACCCCTAAAATTTAAAATTGTATGTATTAGGCATCTATGCATACATCCTTCCTCTTGGTGGAGTATCCACGGACAAAGGTATCCACCATGGGACTGTGATATGGGTGGATGATTAGTTGCCTCACATGGAATAACTAGTCTACACAATGGAAGGATTGGTAGATTGAGTGCGGAAATGGAGGTGCTAGTTCCCCTTGGCTCAGTAGGGGTTGTTAGTCAATAGTCAATAAGGACATTGACATCTCTGAAGGGGAGGTGAGTGTAACGCATGTGATCATGGGATGAGATTTGGATATACTGTCACCGTGGATCCTTGAAACTTTGAAGGATAAATAGGGATAAAATAACCACTAAGGGCTCTCTTATCAAACAATTGTCCCTTTTTCAGTTGGCTTAAAGGGAGAAAGATAAAGTGCGCTACGTAGGGATTAGTCTATTGATTTAAGTAATTATTGTTGTGCTCTTTCATAAATTTTTCTTAGATTGGACTGAAGGCAGTGCGAATGCAAACTTGAGGTTTAGTCAAAGATAAGACTGAAAAAAGAGTTGTCAGGGACAAAAAATCAAACATGTAAATCATTTTCTCTTGAAGAGATGATTTGTAACGAGGTGTTAGCTCATTGCTTGTATTCACATTACGCAATCAAGAATCCCTACCTTGATGCATGTTGGTTATGGTGGTCTTACAAATAGTGAGTCTTGGGATGGATAGTGGTGAAGTGCTAAACCATTTTGTCTAGGTTTGCTATTAGAAGACTAGAGTTATAATGCTCAATTCTTTTTTGGGAACTTTGCTATTGCTCCTTGAGTAGCTTAGTGTTAGATTAGTTTTGAGTTTGGTAAAAAAAAAAGTGGCATGAGCTTGTTTGTGTTGTGAACAAAAGTTAGTAGTGTTGGGTGTTATAAGTCTCTATTAGTAGAGTGTGGCATTTGTGTTATATTTTGTTGAATCAAGTTAGCACTTGATGCTCACATAAACCTTTGAAGTAATTACATGGGTGTTGCTCGTAGTGTTGCTCAATTGATGATCAAGTCATTGTGATTTTATATCATATCCATGTAATAATGAGCAATATGTTTACGAAGTTGTTTGGTTAAATGATAATCAACCCCAAAGTGATTGATGGTGAAGCTAGTCTATTTATATGAAGTAGCATTGTAGTAACTTTGATTGGATTCTTAATGGTGGTTCATTATGCTAAGCTTATATTAGTACCCTATTTCTTGGGGAATTTGCCCATAAGGTGTTGGAAAGGGTTATAGCATTCACTTGCTATGGCTTGTCAGTTGATCCATTAGCACTTGGAGTAGATTATTGCTAACATTGCTAGACATTGCTAACACTTGTGTTAGTGGAAGTGGCATTGTTACTTCGAGTGATGAAGAATTTTTCCTTAGAACTTGATTTTCCATGTCATTTTTCTTGTTAGTATTTTGGCTTAACATTGGATCTTGAAAGTGAAGAAAAGTGTTAGTGCAATATGGATATCCAAAGATGTGGTCTTCGTGATTAAGCCTTGGATGTTCACTTTGCATTTTGCAGATGTTGGTGTTAGATGTCAGTTATATGAGCAAAGATGTTCGATGTTTAAGCATGCTATTGGGTCATAAGAATCTGTGTTAAGGTGAACATATATAAAATTGTTAGTAGGAAGAAGTTGGTTGAGTCTTGAAAGTTTGTATTCCTAAACTAAGAGTCATTCTTTCTCTAGAATGGAAAATTTTCTACAAATTTTCTTCAAACTAGTGAAAGGGTTCAAGTTGGCTTAAACTTTAATAGGTAGTTTGTATAATACAACCCAAAAGGGATGCTGATTTTTGGGGCTAACACAATTGAGTTGGATAAAGTCTAGAATTGGTGTAGAAAAGTGGCCGTTGTGCTTTTCTAAGAAAGATGACCCTTGTGTCTTTCTTCTATAGCGTTGTGCTTGGTGGTAGGTTGCACCTTGCATTTCGTTAGACTCTATAAGAGTAGTGAGCTCTCACTGATCTTAATTTTTTAATTTTGACAAACCTAACATTTACTAGCCAGAAAGCATAGAGTATAAATTTAAAGAAGTGACAAGAATACTCTTTTTGCAAATATTTTATTTTATATTCTAACAAATATCCCTATCATTGCATGTAGTAAATATTTAAATTATTAGAACAAGAAGTGTTTTTTAGAACATTTTTATCTATATAATGTATAGAAAGCTATTAAATTATTAGGTTCGCCATAAACTTAAAATTTTAAAGTTTATAATGTTTATACTAAATTTACAATTGAAAATTGAGCTCAACTCGTGAGCTCAAGTATGGTCTGCACTAGTGGGGCACCATTCTATATGAGTTAGGAATATTACAATTGATTTTCCTTCCAAGAGTGGGAGTTGCTCTTGGGTAGCCTCTCTAACAGCACTCGAATCCATGCTCACTCCCACCCAAGGCCATTAACCCTCAATCTCAACCTCAACTCGGTTGAAAGCACTATTGGAGAGTTCCTTCAAGACTAGGTCTTGGACCTCATTATCTCTACTATATTTTTGGAACCTTTTACAATCAATCCCCCACCCCTCCTGAGAAACGATTATTTTGGGCTTTTACCCCACAATTTGTATTAATATTCAAACTTGGTCTTGGAGTTGATCTTGGACTTAGTTTTAAATCCGGACCCAATCTCAGATTCGGACTCGGTCTCAAATTTGGTCTTGACTTGGTCTCAGAGTTGGTGTTCGAACTTGATCTTAGACTCAATATTGATGAACTCTTTATCGTTCCAGTCATGATTTTATAGATCCTTTAGCCTACGATACCTTAAGGGGTTAGTTGTAAGGAACCAACTCCCTGAGATGTTGAAGGCTAAAGGATCCTCGAAAGCAAGACCAAAATGATAAAGAGTTCATTAGATGAGACCAAGTCCGAGATTGAGTCCGAGACCAACTTTGAGACCGAGTTTGAGACCAAGTCTGAGATCAAGTCTGAGACCAACTCCGAGAATAAGTTTGAGACTGAGTCTAAGACCAAAATCGAGACCGAGTTCGAGATCCGAGATGGAGTCTGAGATAGAGTCTGAGGTCGGATCCGAGATCGAGTTCAAGATTAAGTCTGAGACCGAGATCAAGTCCAACACCGAGTCCAAATACTAATACAAGTCATCAAGTGAAAGCCCAAAGCGTGTGTCTCCTGAGGGGGGGGGGGGGATACAAGGGGTTCCAAAAGTATAATAGGGATAGTGATATCTAGGAACTAGTCTTGAAAGAACTCTCCAATAGTGCTTCCAAACTGACTTGAGGTTGAGACCGGGGCTAAGGGGCCTTGGGTAGGAGTAAACATGGACTCGAATGGTGCCAGAGAGGCCACCCAAGAAAATGCTCAAGGAAAAACCCAAGCTTGCTCAGTTTCCCCCTCATATTGCACCTTCACCATGCCACGCCCGACTTCACCTCCTTGTGACCAATGATGCAGGCACTCGCTCAATGTGTCTTCCTTCATTGGGGACAGCACCAGAGGCTCGTAACCGGAATGCCCTTGATGAGCAATTCTCAAGAGAGCTGCACTGGCTGATCATGCTCAACACATTGTTTTCCTCTGGTCCGGAGGCTGTTCCAGAAGTGGTATCACTACCATCATCCCTGCATCAACCTCCAGTCCAATCGGAGTCGCCACCAATTTACTCTTCATCGCAACTTGAATCATTCAAGTGTTGCTGCCATCCCCAAGTGTGATGAAACCGGTCCTCCAGCTCTGTTCCACCTGTGCCTGGCGCAGCCATGGTCTTCCCAGGTAATCCATCGGGGTACCTCCTTCCATTCTCAACACTACGTAATCGACAAAGAAGGTGAAACTTGCAATCTCAGTTTTCACTCCCATAATGACCCCGATTGGCTTGGAACGCAACTGATTTGCCATGCGGACCTTGAAATGAATTGGTGTAGGTGCATCCAGCTCCAACTTGGATACCATGGCCTCCGGCATCACATTAATAGCTGAGCCCCTGTCAATCACACACTCTCAGAGCCTCTCGCCCACAATCTTAGCATCAATCACAGGTGTATCCAGATCAATCATTGGCCAGGCTGCGTTCACAATTGCTTCCCGGTGCTCCTTGACAGCCATGGTGACCCTGGAGCCAGCTGCAAGAGCTGAGCAAAAGTGATGCTTGGCTTTTGATTCTCCAAATTGTGGAGGATGTCGTATGGCTTGGTCTCGAGGTTGAGCACCGTCTGGTAATGTCGTCTTCGTTCTCCACACCAGGGTCTAATATTGACCAGCTACTTTAAAAAAATTTTGACTAGTAAAATTTTTTTTTACTAGTTTCATGACAAGGAGCTTGTAAATTAAAATTGTCATTTGAATACAAATAAAAAAACTAACTAGTAGCAATAGTATGAGGTTGCCTCTGCTTCATATTCTTCCATACCTTAAATACTTCATGCCAATTTATAATTCTTGGATCTTCACTATTGAGTTTCACCATCATTAGCGCATCTAACATATGTAGCTTTAATAAGGCTTTAGTCTTCGATTTAGTATTGTTCTACAATGAAAACCCTTGCTCACATAAAGCAGTATTTGTAGGGACAACCATACAAAGTTGGAATAGCTTCATTAAACCCATAATAAAGCAAGTTAAATTTTATAAGAAATATATACCTGGAAACATATTCCACCATCTTTCATTTGTGCTACAGAAGCTCCAAGCATCATGCATTGGTTTGTTTCCAATGCTCCGCGTTAAAAACCCTGTAAAATCATCAAGTTTGTTGTTACAAGCAACAATATTCACCATGGTTGAATCAGTGTTGATTGTCTCTAGTAGCCGATTGAGCCATGTTCTTGTAAGTGTTGATCGCTCTTGAAAGTCTTGAGGCTACGACACTGGTCTAAATAGCTTGAAGCTGTTGAAGAAGGTAACATCTGGAAAACAGGTGTTCAACGTGTTCACTGTTGCTTGAACATAAGCTTGGCCCTTGATCACACAATCTCCTACTGAACCTGGAGTTGGTGCTGGCAATAAAGCTGTCCCTAGAGCATTCAAATCTAGACCAAGTGGAACAACACTTGAAGATTGAGCAGGTTCACTTGACATCCTAGTGTTCTTCACCTCCACTGGCTTGCATTATAACTTGTGTACAGACTTATCCCCTCCAGCCTTGACATAAGAAAGCTCTCCATTCACACTATCCTTTGTGCCCCTTCAAAGTTTCAATTGTCATATCTAGAAATGATACAATCTCCAAGCAATTTGTCATTTGTGCTTGGAAAAGGACGTTCAACTTGTTCAGCTCAGCCAAAACATCTGCTAGCAAATGAATAAAAAACTGAACCTAAAATGATAGTTTAAATTAGAACTTACACTAATTTTAACTAGAAAAAACCATACCTGAATGGTCGTGAGGCTGGAGTACTGAGTTTTATCTGCAATTTTCCACTGATCAAGCAAAGCAGGCATAGCTATCACCAGCCTCACTTCTCCCCTAGATAGCCAACGAACATCATGCATTGCTAGCATCTTGAGCTCCTTAAGACAATATGACTGTAAAAGCTCCTTTAGCTCTTTATGCCTTAAAGAGCTTTTCCCCAGCCACGACTTGATTTTTTCAGCTAGCTTGTCGATGGCGTCAAAGATTGGTTGATTGGTTGTAAAGCCATCCTTGGCAGCAAGAGCCTCTCGGTGAGCTACGCAGTGCACGCCAATGATCTTGGGACAAATCATTCTCAGCCTCTGGAGCACACCTGTGTTACGGCCCACCATACTCGAAGCACAGGCTATCATGTTCTCTACTCTCAAATTCATGTTCAAGAGCAAACCTTGTAGTGTTTCAAAGATCGATTCTGATGTCCCATTCTACACTTGTAGAAGCTTCAGAAAGTCACAGTGTAGCTCCTTCCCTCCAAGCAAGTAGACCATATAAATGATCAAATGCTGTTCACACACAGCCATGGTCAGTACTTTCATCTACCAAAACTGAGAAGAAAAGACTCTCCCTGATGTTGTCAAAGAGCCTTTGTTGCACCACATCTTGAATTGCATGGAGGAAATCATGTGCTGTTACGGGATTGACATATGCTGAATAATCGCTGCCTATAGGAAAGTTTGGCGCCTCTGGTAGACGGAATTCTGGAACTCCAAAGCTATACTGTCCAATGGAAAAATTGCTACCACAAAGTGGTGAACCAGCTTCATCACCTGAAGAATTCTCTCCTCTTCTTCATTGAGTCATTTTTCACATGCAATGTCCATAGGCCCTTTTTATAGCTTCATCCTTCTAATAGATCTCTCACAAGCTTGCTCCAAGGATGCACAAGACCCCATTCAGCACGCCATTTCCTACTAAGCACCTTCATTTAATCATCACTAGCATGTGGCTCACTTGGATGAGCATCTTGAGATAGAAGAGACTGTTGTTGACTACTAGTTGATACAGTAGAAGGCCATGAAGAAACTAGTGAGAAATAAGAGTCAATTTGGCTCTTTTTACTCACTTTCTGCCTTTTCTTTTGCCCCACACTCCTATGATAAAAAAAAGAGCACACTCTAAGCAATGTTGCTAGCATTTTTTCTAAATGCTACTTACCCAGTAGAAATATCAGTGATAAGGACTTGGTCCTCCTCTTCGTGCCTTGAGCCCATCACACACGGCCTCTTCTGTCCCATTTGTCCTTATTTTACATTGACATGTATAATGTATTAGGTATATGCATATAAATTTTGGAATATGTATGACCTGTTGTATAGAAAAGTAAATAACTATTTGACTAGTGTATTTGACGTTTACTACTTCTAAGTGGGAGGATTAAGCAACTTTGAAGAGTTGTTGCTAAATCACTAAACACTCAAGAATTTGTTTAGCCAATAGTTATGCCAAGACCACCTATACATGTAAAATAGCTGAGAGAAAATGAGAAGATAATTTTGAATTTGACTTACACAAGACACTACATCAATCTCATAATAGCTGGTATTAGCAAAAAGCAAACTCCAAATCATAGAACTCACTACTCACACTTTACACACAAACATATCCATTGCCACCCTCTGCTCATCTCTTCATGTCATTTTGAACTTTACAAACTTCAATTGTGCTCATCTGAAGTTGTCTTGATGAACTCATCTGTATCTTGCATTAGTCCAGTTATCTTGCAATGTCTGCCACACACGAATAGTGTCTCTGATAAATCCATAATATCCAAATTTGCATTATGCTTATCTTATGCATCTTAGGATGATCACACAAAAGTGGTAGTGCTTGGGATTCTAGGAGAGAAAAGGAAAGTGAGGGAATGTCTCTCACTTGAATTCTCATTGTTTTCTTATTTCACCCTCAATTTGTGTCTTACAACACCCTAAAACACATAGATTCTTTTGACTGACTTAATAGTTTTCCTCCTCAGAAAGGAAAACTAAGAAAGAGCTTCATGACACTGATCCCACAGGTACCAGGAAGGAGCAACAATAGAGAAGAGTGTGATATGCAAGAGACACTGTCTTTAAACTGAAAGGTGAAATACAAAGCAACTTACACAAGACCAAGAAAAATCAAAGGCAGGATCCCCCTTCTTCACTGACTTTTTTCCAAGCCATCCTTACTCACTCCCTTAGTCTTGCACGAAACACTGGAGGATTTCATGTCAGGAGCTGTAATCCGGAGGGATACTTTTCTGTTCTCATATGTCCCCTTGACCTGTCAAAATTAAGTTTAACAGTTCCCGAGCATTGGAACTTGTTTTCCAGTATTTCCTCCATACCAAGTGCTTTTCCATACTTTCTTCCTCCCCTAAGTCCACATGTATGTCTGTGCAGATCCTCCTCAACCCAGTTGAATTGGATCCTCATCAGCTTGATTGCAAGCCATCCGCGAAGAAGATGATCCTGCTCCTAGCAACACAACACTGTTATTTACCTTTTTGCTAAACTCACTTAAGCTGTCTGGAGCGTCCAGCACTCCGGAGTAAGCATACATGTTTGGTTTGGTTTCCATCTTTCGAAACATTTCCAGGATGGTCTTTCCATCTCCGTGCTCCGAATAGGCCGTGATGATAGCTCCCCAGGCAACGATATCTTTGCGCACCATCACGTCGAAGGCTTTGCGCACCATCCTCAACGCTGCCACACTTGGCATACATGTCCACCAAGCCAGTCGTGACGATGCTGCTCTTGCCGAAAGATGGTGCCTTTGCTCCGGTGGAAGATGCAACGATTAAGTGCGAGTGAATCGCCCGTCCCTCCTCGAGCGCGTCAGTTCCGAGCGCTCCACAGGCACCCAGAGCGATTGAGAAGATGAAGTCGTCCGGCTCCATTCTATCGTCCTTCATCTCCTGATAGGCATCGAGAGCGTCCCGGAAGAGCCCGTTCTGGAAGTAGGCGATGAGAATTGTCCAAGAGAAGACGTTCCTGGTGACTATCCGGTCGAAGGCACTTCGGGCTCGATCGAGCTCGCCGCATTTGCCATACATCTGGACGAGCAAATTCCTGAGAAACGTATCGCCATCGTAGCCGCGGGACTTGAGGAGGAAGTGGAGCCTCTTGCCTTCCCAGAGGTTCTGGCTGCTCCCGCATCTTCGCAAGGCCTCGGCGTAGCATTTGGTGGTGTCGCTGCTGCAGCGCAAATTTGGACTAGAACCCACTACAGCAACATCGCTGGCGAGGGAGCTGGAGCTCCAGACAGCGTCCATTCATTCCATCACAAACTTCTCCGCAAGCAATAGGTAAGGTTCTTTTGTGATTTAAAATCCACTGAAGTTCTGATTCTTTCTCTTGACATTCAGGATTGACAGCATCGCAATCAAGTCCCATTTTCATGGAACATACCGAAACACCAAGATGAAGGAATGATGGCAACCTATCAGCCAGGCAAGAAACTTCTCAAACTTCCAAACTTTCGTTTCAAAGAAACTTCTTGAAAGAGCCAACTTTGCAGTTCTAGCTGCAATCGCTAAGCTATGGCTGCGTACTATCGAAGCCTATAGGAGTCGTTGTCCTCGAAACTCTCCCCGCAGAGCTCTCTCAGCAAGATGATCTCAACAAAGCTCACGAACGACGAGGCTATGAGCTTTGTTGATGCTCATGAAATGTTCTCCTCAAGATCATCCACGAGCTGCCCAAGCACAATCTGATTCCTGCTCAACCGTTGCAGCGATTCCCGCAGAATCAACTTATCCTCGTGCTTCAGGCAGAAGGCTAAGGTCCTGTTCGTGAACTCAATCTCGCAGCCTAATCTCATCACCAGCCGCTTCATCATATCCAGATCTTGCACAACCACAAAAGTCCCCTAAGCAACATACTGCTTCTCCAGATCCACAAGCCGATGCTTCCGCCTCCTGCTAAGACGTAATTGATCGGAAGCGTAAACACTTTCCATTCCACAATGAGTGCAGCCACCGCAAGAAATGCAGCCAAATCTGCATCGTCGTTGGCTTTGTCCATAACCCCGTTGAACTCTTCGCTCGACACCATGACGCTGTGACCTGGTGCATTTAACATTCTGTGACAATTCATTGTTTGTTCACTATAAGCGATCTAATGTTTCAGGTTTGGTTCAACAAAAAATACATCTAGACCATTCTATAAATGCTTTAGTATTTAGCTGTCTTAATCCCGCTCTTAATGGTAACCTATATTATCTAAACAAATTTGACAACAATCGCCAAAGTTCCAAGATCGGCTTCCTCTGCTATAGTGGAAATGTTATCTATCTGCAAGTAAACAGATTCAACACCTGTTGAGAAATAATAAACAAACAAACCTCTAGTTCCCCCGCGTTCCATGAGGTTTGTACACGAGAGAAAATGTCAGATATGAGCAGCACCTCATCACGATTTAGATGTCCCTGTAGAAAACAATTGAGCTTTAAGAACAACATCAAGAACAAATTCTTACCCATTGCAGAGTTGCATAGCTCTCACAAGAACTTGAAAACTCCTGTAAACACCATCTTCAGACCTCTACTAATTGGACAGAGAAGTCCTTACCTTTAAGCTCCTCTGTCCAGCAACAGCAACCGACATCGCCCCTGGCCCAGCAACAGCCACCTTCCCGCTTTCATATATGGCTACCAGAGTTGTGTAAAGACGAGGAAGCCAATCATTTTCCTGAACAGATACAAGTTAGCCGAATGCACATTTCAACATACGTTACCTTGACTGTACTTATGGGATCAGGGTCTATATCTATTTCAGGATCAATGTCTAGTGTCTTGCAATACGCCTCTCTCTCCGGCATGTCCCTTGTAACATGCTCACGGAGCTCCGTCTCCACACTGCAGAAACTGAAGATACAAAGCAGCATCTTGAATGAAAAGCTTACTTGGAGTAGAGGTTCATCACACTGTTGATATTTATCCCATTGGCAAGCTGATGGAGGTGCCTCTTGAAGGAAGCAAGCCGGAAATCACAAAGCCGCAGAACCTCTGTAAGCAAGTATAAGCTTCAAAAAAAATCGAAGGAAAACAACATACTCGAGTGATCACCGCTGTAAACGTGAGAAAGTATGATTGTCACTGGCTCTCCCTTAATCTCTGTGCTCGCCATGAAAGTCTGAAAGGAATTGAAACAAACAGATAATCGCATAATCACAGTACATACATGAGAAGCCATTGTTGGGTTGTTATCCCGCTGAACACAATTGACACCCGTCTTCGGATCCTGGAATGCTCTCACAGCCTTTCGCGCAACGGAAAATGTCTTGGACCGCCCGATTACCATCGCCATCGCTCCTAACCCTAACCCTAATTAAAGAGGTGGAGTACGATGAAGAGCAAATGGTATGTTTTGAAGCTAGAAAACAAAATGATCATGTGGAATCACTTTCGTTCAGTGTTCTGGCATTGGTGTTGGCTTGTTCTCGGCATGATTGCGTTGCGTTGCAATTGGGCAACGAGGAAGAAGGTAAGCTCTGGATTTGTCTTCTCTTTGTCTTCTGAATCATTTTCTGTATTTGACAGTTTTGTCAATTGCTTGCAACCATGCCTGGAATGATGCAATGACACAGAAATCTGGTGATCTGCTCAAGAAGATCAGCGATGAAACAGTCAGCATTGCACAGCTCCGTCAGGATATTTGCGATGCCAACACAGGAATCATTCGAGAACTGGCAAAAAAAGCAGATATTTCGGTTGCTGGTGGCAGGACTGCCATGGAGATTGCAAGTGATGGTGCTGCTCTGGCTAAACGTTGCATCCAGGAAAGAGTTACCATGTCTCACTCTTTGGAGTTGCTCGCTGTCTTCTATGAATCAGCACAGTACCTGAGAGCTGAGTTCAGAGGTTGTGCTTATCGCCAAAGCATCGTACGGGATGAGCTTTCTAGAACAAAAGTGGTTGCACTTCATCCTCTGAAGC